ACAACAAACAGGCCATATACAGCATGTAACAGAACAAACAGGCCATATACAGCATAAACCAGAATAAATGGGCCATATACAGCATGTAACAGAACAAACAGGCCATATACAGCATGTAACAGAATAAATGGGCCATATACAGCATGTAACAGAACAAACAGGCCATATACAGCATGTAACAACAAACAGGCCATATACAGCATGTAACAGAACAAACAGGCCATATACAGCATGTAACAACAAACAGGCAATATACAGCGTGTAACAGAACAAACAGGGCCATATACAGCGTGTAACAGAACAAACAGGCGGTATACAGCGTGTAACAGAACAAACAGGCCATATACAGCATGTAACAACAAACAGGCAATATACAGCTTGTAACAGAACAAACAGGCGATATCCAGCGTGTAACAGAATAAACAAGCCATATACAGCATGTAACAACAAACAGGCCATGTACAGCGTGTAACAGAACAAACAGGCCATATACATTGTGTAACAACAAACAGGCAATATACAGCTTGTAACAGAACAAACAGGCGATATACAGCGTGTAACAGAACAAACAGGCGATATACAGCATGTAACAGAACAAACAGGCCATATACAGCATGTAACAACAAACAGGCAATATACAGCGTGTAACAGAACAAACAGGGCCATATACAGCGTGTAACAGAACAAACAGGCGGTATACAGCGTGTAACAGAACAAACAGGCGGTATACAGCGTGTAACAGAACAAAAAGGCGATATACAGCGCACAACCGAACAAACAGGCGATATACAGCGTGCAACTGAACAAACAGGCGATATACAGCGTGCAACTGAACAAACAGGCGATATACAGCCTGTAACAGAAAAAAACAGGCGATATACAGCGTGTAACAGAACAAACAGACGATATAAAGCTGTAACAGAACAAACAGGCGATATAGAGCTGTAACAGAACAAAAAGGCGATATGCAGCGTGTAACAGAACCAATAGGCGATATACAGTGTGTAACAGATCAAACAGGCCATATACAGCGCGTAACAGAACAAATCCGGTTTCTGACTGGATGAAGCATCAGAACCGGTTTCTGATTGGATGAAGCATCAGAACCGATTTCTGACTGGATGAAGCATCAGAACCGATTTCTGACTGGATGAAGCATCAGATCTGTTTTCCAATTAGATGAAGCATCAGAACCGGTTTCTGACTAGATGAAGCGTCTGAACCGGTTTCTGATTGGATGAAGCATCAGAACCAGTTTAAAATTGGATGAAGCATCAGAACTGGTTGCCGACTGGATGAAGCATCAGATCCGGTTTCTGGCTGGATGAAGTATCGA